AAGTGTGAACCTTGTGCCTGAGTCGGCGTGTGACCCTCCCGAATAAATAGGGGTGTTTGTGCGCCCGGCTCCTCAGAGCGTCCCCGGGGCCGATCCTGCCGCCAGGATGCGAGTGCTGGCTGGGGTAGGGATGGGAGTCCCCGTGCTCCCGTGGCTGCTGCTGCTGCTGGTGATGTCCCACTCAGCCCACGCAGGTGAGCTCCGGGTGGCTTTGCTGTCAGCTCCCTGCTGTGGGTGGGCATCACCCGCATCCAGGGACTGGAGGAGACTGGGATCTTCCTGCCTGTTTAGCTGAGGGAGAAAGTGTGACCGTCCTTTGCCAGGGTCTGGTTCAGCTTTCAGGGGCTGTGTGGGAGCAGGGAACTGAGGCAGAGGCACGGCTTCTTACTGTGGTCCCTGCAGTGCTGTCCGTGAAAACATGGAAAGGGAAACTTCCTTTGGCTCTCGGAGCTGCTGCATCTCTAACAGTGCGGTTCGTGTCTGTAAGTCGCCCCCTTCTCTCTCTCCCAGCCATCCTGGAGGTGAATGGGAACCTGAGCTGTAGGTGTGCCAAGACAACCTTGGACTACATCAGTCCCAAGAAATATGAGAGCATTGAGATAAGGCCCGTGGGCAGCACCTGCAGGCGCACGGAGATCATGTAAGTGCTGTGCTTCTGCTGCCATCCTGCTTCCACGCTGCCTTGCTGGAAACCTTTCCAAAACTGCTGCTGGCTTGCTCCCTGAGAAATATGAGGTGTGGAAATGCACCCCAGGCCACCTGCTACAGGACCCAAAGGAATGTTTCCAGCCAGGGAAAGTGTGATCTCCTCATGCTGGTGCTTAGCAGGGAGCGTGCTGGAGAAGGGGTTGTTTGCAGCTTGGAAGGAGCACATCTTTTAAACGCTGGGCCATAACTAATTTTCCCAGAATTCTTTAACTGCTCAGCACTGATACATTTGTAAATCTCCAGAAAAAAACCTGTGTTTGAACCATGCTCTGGTCTTTGGGTTTGAACCATGCTCTGGTTCCCCTCTGCAGGGGAACGTGTTGCATTTTCCTTGTTCCTGGCCATCCCGTGGCTTCCTCTGTCTCTGGCTGCTTTCTCTGGCACTGTGAGCAAAAGCTGACTCTTGCCTGTCATCTCTGGCTGCTTGAATCCCTGCCTTTGGAGGGGACAGGAATGCTCAGGAGCTCTCCTTGCATTTCAGAATTAAATTAAGAGCTGCAGGGAAGGTGTGTGTGAATCCCGAAGCCCCTTGGGTAAAGAAGCTGCTGAAGCGTATCGCTAGCACGTGAGTTGGTCTGGTGGAAACCCCTTTGGCTCAGGTGGCCTTGGACAGCATTCCAGCACATCTGCACTCCTGAGAAGCGCTTGTGGATCTGGGGGGCTCTCGGGGGGCTGCTGGTGGCCAAGGGACCCGCTCCCAAGGCAGTGAGGGGCAACTCTTTGCTGTGCAAGTTCCACAGGACCCGTCCATGGGTCGTACTCTCCCTGGCTTATATGCACAGTGCTGCGTCTCCAAAAACATTTTAGAGGAAAAAAAAAAAGGTGGGGAGCAATGGCAGGAGCAGGGTTGGCTCGTTGCAGGTGCAGTAGTGCATCGGTGCTGGGCTGGGAAACCGCCCCACTCTGTGCCCGTGCCGGGTTTGTGGCTGTCCCAGCGAGTGATTCCTGCCCCGGGGAAATGGCAGTGACTTCCTTCGCTTGGGGGCAAGAGCTTCCTCCCCCCAGGACCCGCTTTTCTCGGCATTCACACATTTCTCCTCCTTCTGCTTTTCGCAGGAAGAAAAAATAAGTTTCCTGCTAAGGAAGTTGATGCCCAGAGCCCCGAGATGGGCTGGTGGACGATGCCCGGGTGTGCAGACCTGGCTGCTCCTCACTTTGCCCTCGCTTCCCCCCCTCCTGAAACACTGGCAGTGCCTGTAGGGAGGGTGGCTCACTGCTGGCCCCAGCCCCACGGTGGGTTTGTGGGGGTGTTTCCCCCTGCATTTGGTCCCTGGATCGGTGTGAATCTGAATCCTTCATTTATTTACTTGCCCGTGGACTGCGAAGCCGTTCTCTGTGAGGGGCTGCTCCTGCTTCTTTAGGAATGACTTTGTGACTCCTTCTGTGCAAAGTGCTCAGCGAGAGAGTGTGTGTCTGGGGTTTGTGTGGCACAGCGTGGCGTGTCCTGTCCCGAGAGCTCAAGTCCAATAAAATTCAGGATTTTTCCTGCTGTTGTATTTCCCTGGATCTCCTAGCTTTGAAGTAATATAGGACATAGAGTCATAGGACAGTTTGGGTTGGAAGGCACCTTAAAGCTCATCCAGTGCCACCCCCCTGCCATGGGCAGGGACACCTTCCACTAGCCCAGGTTGCTCCAAGCCCCATCCAACCTGGCCTTGGACACTTCCAGGGAGGGAGCAGCCACAGCTTCTCTGGGCAACCTGTGCCAGGGCCTCCCCACCCTCACAAGGAAGACCTTCTTCCCCAAATCCCATCTAACCCTGCCCTCTGTCAGTGTAAAGCTATTCCCCCTTGTCAAGGGTCCTTCCCATCCTTAACCTGTTGTTTCCCTGAGTCCTGATTGGAGGCCACGATGTTCCTGGCAGGGAGCTGGATCCAGCCAACGCATCCCACATCCAGGTGCTGGTGTTTGTGATGGGGCTGGGGTTTGCAGGTGGCTGTAAGCCTTTAAAAATCAATCCAGGCCGAAAGGGAATGGGTGTGAGGTCACGTGGCAGAGTTCTGGGGGAAAAGACCAAAAGCAAATGTCACCAGAGCTCTGCTGGTCTGTTCCTTGCGGGGGGGACAACGTGACTGTAGGAGAAAATAGTAATATCAGGACAGATATTACTGTAATAATAGTAATGCAGGGCAGAGAAACCTCTGGGCTCGTCGGGCTGTGTGGGCTAAGAACAAACTTGGGCGAAACAACTGATCTCTTCACAAGACCCGGCATTCTAGGAAGGGGAAAACGAGCCAGTTTCGGGAAGCCTGGGCCCCTGCCAAGCCCCGAGCCACGTTTGACCAGCAGCGCTGCAAGCTCAGCAAGCTCCGTCAGCACAGAACGGGACGGGAGAAAACCACCCCGACCCCGGGGCCGCCCGTGCCGCCTCACTTCTCCTATTTTCCGGCTCAAATAGGGGGATGCTGCCGGTGCCGGGGTGGGGCCGGCATGGCTGCGTGGGCGGCCCTGCTGCTGGGGGTGCTGCTGGCGACCCACCGCCCCGGGGACGCAGGTGAGGTTCCCCTCGGGAGGGTTTGGGGGGGGGGGGGGGGGGGGGGGGGGGGGATGAGGCTTTCGGGGGTGTTATCCTGCCGTGCCGCCTCCAGGGTTTAAAGCGGGTGATCCCGGTGAGATATGGGGGCACACGCATTGCACAGGAAGGGTTTTGGGGATGGCAGTGGGATTTGAGGTGACGGGTGAGCCGCAGCCGCGTGCTCCTCCAGCTCTCCTGGAAGCCAATGGCAACCTGAGCTGCCGCTGCCGCAAAACCACCAGAGCCTTCATCCCCCCGGCGAAATACGACAGCATCGAGGTGCGGCCCGTGGGGAGCAGCTGCCGGCGCCTCGAGGTGGTGTAAGTGTGTGCCGGGGGTTATGAGCCTCTCACTCCCCCCACATTCCCTGAATTACTTCAGTGTCATGCTTATTTTTATGAGAAGGATGGGGGGCTCAGCGGCTCAAAACCCCTCCACTGCAGGAGGGGGAAGTGACGGTGCTGAAAGCCTGTGTGTTTTCTAGGATTAAGCTAAAATCCCTGGAGAAGGTCTGCGTGGATCCCGATACCCCTTGGGTGAAGAAACTCTTGCATGACCTCCCTCACCTGTAAGACCTCCCCTCCGCTCCCCCTGAGCACACAGGGCTCCTGGCAGGACCAGGGGCATCCCGTGGGGACCTGTCTTCACACGTTCCTCCCCTCTTCTGCTTTTGGCAGGAGGAAGAAAGAGCGTCCCCGCTGAGGAAGCTGCCACCGGAGGGACGGCCAGATGTGCTGGGCCCAGAACTGCCCCCCCTTCCCATCCTGCTGCCACTTTACCCCAGTCCTGGGGGGAGTGTCCTCCCGCCTGATCCCCTGAGACCCTTTTCCCTCGGCATTTTATTCCTTTAAACCCTTGACCATGCCAGTCCCTGCCTCCCTCCCCTCCCACCCTGCGGCCATGCGCTGGGTGTCCTTTTTGAGCACAACCCAACAGGCCCAATAAAGGTGTGGCAGCCCGAGGTTACCGTCCCTTGCATCCCTTCCTGTGGCACTCTGGGGGACTGGGGTGCTCAGGGAGCAGCAGGGGCATGGGGGCACCAGCCTTTCCCCGAAAACATGGGGCGAGCAGGAGGTTTTAGGAGGCGGCCGTGGCAATTTCCGCCTTTTTCATGGGCCACGTGCAATGGGGGGGAAGCAAGGGCAGGGAAGTTGAAGCGTGGGGGCATCTCCTTTTTCCTCCCTCTCAGGCCCTTCCCAGCCTGTGAAATCCCCTCAGGGCTGGCTATAAGGCAGCCCCTGCATTGGCTCTGGGCAGGCAGCAAGGATGAGGCTGCTCCTGGCAGCGCTGGCCCTGCTCCTGCTCCTGAGCAACTTGGTGCCTGGGGGCAGTGAGTGGCTTTGGGGTGTCTGTGTCCCTCTCCAAACACCTGGATAGTGGCACTGGGTGTCCCAGATGGGGCTGAGTGTGGGCTCTGCTAAGCTTTCAAATTTGTTTCTTACCTGTCTTTGAGCTTATCTTTCAAATTTGTCTCTCGCCTGCCTTTGAGCTTGAGTTTATCTTTTAAATCCTGTGGCTAAGCTGGAGGGGGATGCCTGAGTCTGGGGGATTTGTTTCATGGGTTTAAGTTGCTTCTCTTCCTGTGAAACATGAGTGCTTGGTGGGTGGGCAGTGGGTTTAATTCATAAAATATTGGTTAAGTTTTCAAACCCTCCTGCTAAACCCCCTCCATGTACAGGAAAAGAGGCTGTGCTGGGACGGATTAGCCTTGCTGCAAACCCCATTAACACCTGCCTGTCCCTGCAAGTGGCCCCATGAGTGCCTGGGATGGGATGGGATAGTGGGGAGTGGGATGTCCCCCTCCATCTGCCTCCCCTTCGGGGGGGCTGAGAGCTGGTGTGGGCTGCTCTGGGGCGCAGGTCTGTCGCTGGAGAGCCTGCTGACCAACATGAGGTGCAAGTGCATCAAATCGACCGCCCAGGTTATCAACTTGGGACTGATCCTCACCATCGACGTCGTGCCACCTGGTCTGCACTGCCGGAGGAAGGAGATCATGTAAGTGGAAAGTCTGGGAAGCAATTCCTGCAAGTTGTGGGTGCTTGTGTCCTCTCTGAAGATCCCAAGTGTCGAGGTGACTCTTGCAAGGCGCAGGGCCGCCGCTGCCTGTTTTAAAGGGGGTTCCCCGCAGTGTGGCTTATTTGGGTCATGGCCCAAAAATCCCATCTCCCTGCTGTCCGGGGTGCGCCCATATCCGTGCTGGGGAGTTTTCTCTGTCGGTTGGAAAAGCTTTGGGGAGGGGGCGTGCGAGGGGGCTGAGGGGTTCTTGTGGCCTTGCAGCCTCACCCTGAAGAAAAACAAGAGGGTGTGCGTGGCCCCCGAGGCGCCCTGGATCCAGCTGCTCGTCCACAGGCTGACGCAGAGGTATACTCGGGACAAAGCGGCAATCTCCAACACCCCGGCGGGGCGATGCCTCCCTCCTCACCTCTTCCTTCTTTCCGTTTCTTCCCTCCCACCAAACACGCAGGAATGCCGCCAGGAGGGCAGCGGCGGCGCGGCCGCGGCGGGAGGCTCAGCAGCGGCCGTGCCCTTCCCCTCACGGCTCCCGCGCTCCGGCCCCGCCGCCGTCCCGATCCACGCCAGCCCCGGGGCGCTGAATTCCCGCTGGGACGGCAGCGGCACGACCGCTCCGCGCTGAGACACGCCGGGTGTCGCGGTACAACGCTGGCGCTTGCCCTGCTCCCGAGGTTTTGGCAGGGGCCGGGAGCCTTTCCCTGCCGCCCGACAAAAAAAAAAAGGCTTCCCCCCCCTAACATCCCCAGGCAGCCGGCGTCTCCCTCCGCGTGGTGTGTGCCGCGATATTCCCGCAGGCTACCGCAGCCCATCGAGGGCACCGTCAATAAATGATGAATGTGCTTCCCCCCCCTCAGCTGTGGCGGCTCTTTCTGCCCGGATTCCTGGGAAAAATTGGGATTTTTGGGGTGGGCGGTTCGGGGTTTTGACAACCTCCCTTTCCCCGGCTGCCCGGAGGTTATGGAAAGGCTGGGCTGCTTAGCTCTGGCAGCACTGGGGTACTCCCCAGGCCAGGTCTGTGAGAGGAGCCTGGGTTTCTGCTGTCCCCACTCCGTGGGAATTCATGGAATAAGCAACTTTCTCTGTTTTTCTGCTCAGGTCTCAGTTGAAGGCTGTGGCTCTCCCATGTTTGGTGCTGAGGGCTGGTGTCAAACCCAGGGAGACGCATCCCTGTCCCTGTGTCGGGTGGGAACAGCAGCCTCCGAGGGTCCCCCGGATAGGGACGGAGCTGGCAAGGCGACACCACCTCCAGGGCAAGCAGCATTTCCCACCCCAGGGCACTCTATTTAAAGCAAAGCTGCTCTTTCCATAAAACAAGGCATAAATCCCCCTAAAATCATAGCATAAGCATGTTTGGGGGTGGCACTGCAGCTTCCCCCCTTCCATGGGCACTTCCATCTCTCAGGGACGGGACCTCACGGGTGCAAAGGCAGCACACAAGAGAGAAATCCGACTAAAAAAAAACCCCCAAACTCCCAAAATATCTGCTGTGGAATGGCCTCCAAAGAGGATAAGCCCAAGCACTGGGATTACTCTCCTCTTCCTCACTGTCACAGGGAGGGATTGCACCATACCTGAATCTAAAGATTTATAATCTCCTAAAATTGTTTTTAACTTAAAGTGATGCTTGGCAGAGAGGGTTAAGATGTAAGTGGTTCCCACCAGGTTCTCTTGGGGATTGTGTCATCTTGGAACACTGAAGGGAAGAGAGAGGGAGGGAGGGTCTGTGACCAAACTTGTCTAATCTTATCCAAAAACTGCATGTACTTGGGGAAGACCCCCCAGAAGAACATCCCACCTCCATGGTGACCAAGCAGGACAAGGACCTGCTGCTCTGTGATGCTGATTTTAGCTGAACTACCTCCTGCTGCTCCCATGTCCCAGCGTGTCAGGTAAGGATGTCCTTGAGCCCTTACAAGTCTTTCCCTAAATCACCTTCTGAATTAACTCTGAATTTCCACACCACTTTCTCCCTGACCAAAACCAACCCCAGATTAGAAAAGGGATCTGAACCTTGAAGGTCTCAATTTCTCACTCACGACTTGTAGCCGACATCTCCCCAGCCAGGGTGTGGAAAGTTGGTCTCCAAAAGCCCAATATTTGGGATTAAGTGGGAGCTGCAGATGCTCACCACCTTTGAAAAGTGAAGCTTGAGAGGGCGAACGTGGATTTAGGAGTTGAGAAGGTGGGAGCCCATCAGCCCTCCTAGTGTTACCTGAATGCTGGAGATGACGGTGAAGCTGCCTTCTGGAAAGGGGAAGAGTCCAAGATTTTGGATTACTAGTCCATAAAACACAGAACAGCTGGGACACTAGGGAAGGAAAGGTTGTCTGGGACCCCACTAGGCCATACCTGGAGAAGGAAAGGTGGTCTGAGACCTCACTGGGCCATCCCTGACTGCTCACACTTGTTCCCGCTCCTTAGAGTGAAAGAAGGAAACAAAAATTTTCAGCTGCATTGTACAAAATTCTCTTTTTATATATATATATATATATATATGTATATATTTACACACACAAAACCCCCATATGGAACAGATTTACCAGGCTGAGTTTTAAAAAGTTGCTTGTAGAAGGGTGTTGGATTTTGTTTTCTCTGCTTGCTTTAGGCAGTGCTGTCGCTTGGAAGTGGACATCAGGCACCGTGTTTTGGAAAGGAAGGAGCAGGGAAAGGCTTGGAGCCTTTTTTCCAGATATTGGCTGCGACATGCTGGGAATTGAGGAGTGGTGATGGAGAGAACAGCTGGGAAAAAAGCACCATCCCCTCACTGCTCCTGCTGGGAAGGGAAAACAGAAGGGAGCTGGACAGGAGAAAGGCAGGTAAACATGTGCATTGACTGAAACATAAACAGGATTTTTTTTTTTTGTGCAATGTCTGTTAAAAAAACATTTCTGTGTTAAAAACCACACGGTGTGATGGGTGTTGGGAAGTGCATTTGGCAGCAGAGAAAATCCAATGGAACACCTTCCCGCAACGGAATACTTCCACCTTTAGAAACCAAAGGAAAATCCAACTTGAGCAGCTCAGGTTTGCCAGGGTTTGGGTTTTTTCCATCCCCGTCCTCTCCCACCCTGATTATTACAAAACATTGGTGTTGGGTTTGTGTTTTTATTACTAAACTCCTCTGCAGTTCATAGACAACCATGGGTGACCTGGAAATTCCATTTTATACAAACAGCTCAAAAAAATACTGGGAGTGAAGTATGGTGGGAAACACTGCCCACGTTGGGAGTTACCGTGCGTGGAGGAACAGGAGGAGCAGGTCAGTGCACACCTCCAGAGAAGAGCAACCCCCCCTTCCCAAAAAAAAACATACAGCAGCTGGTTACGGAAAGGTAATGTCCACAAAATTAAGTTTTTCATGCTATTCTACTTTCCAGTACTCTCAACAAATCCATGTGCCATAGCCAAGGTGGGGAAGGCTGAGGTATATTCAGAGATACCTGCACCCAGAGGAAAATCAATCTGTAAAGGGCCTTTTTTTTTTTTTTTTTTGCTTTTTGGTTTTGGGGTTGGTTTTTTGGGGTTTTTTTGCACAAATCAGGTGCCGCACAGGAATTTTCCCCAGCTCCCATTGCTTCCAATTGATCACAGACCACTAATGATGCCTCCATTTTTTTAGGCACTTCTTTTCCAAGGGAAAAGTTGTAATTTTGTTGAACCCATTTTTGCATTCTGGTCCACCCCACCCCCTCCCCAACCTCCAACCAGAGTCAGGGAACAGTTTCTCCTCTAAGTCCAATTGAGGTCTTTTTTTCCCCCTATATGGATAATATCCACAACAAAGGAAATGTTTAATTAAAGAGAAACAGCCTGACTTGGCAGTTTTGCAAGACAGAAGGTGGCTCCTTAGTATTGAAAACTAATTTCACAATTTAAATTGGACTTTTTTTTTTTTAAAGTATACGAATGAGACATAAATATAGGCTTATCAATCTGCTTAAAAATTTCATTCACATCATGGAAAATGTTTTTCATTTATTAAAAATATCACATTTGGAGACTAGAAACAGTAAAGTGCATGAAAAGTTTCAAATAGAAATTCAAGAAAATCTTATAGCAGCAAAAAAGCAGAATAAAGAAAAACTTAAAAACACAGACACGACCTTTTCCTATCACTGTGCCTTGTTTTTTAAAACATTAAGCAGCCAAACAGGTTTGTGTTTTGTTTTGTTTTTTTCAGAAAATTGCATCACGTTTAATGCCTATTCAGGCACAAGGTTTTGAACTGGCCACCCAGAGCATTAAAAGGAAGGAAAAAAAGGATTTCCAACACATCCAAAGAGCATTAACAGTTGGGAAGGAACCAGCAGCTTTTTAATTCAACCCTGACCGACAACAGCTCCCAAATAAATTGGCATCAGGAGGATTTAGAGCTCGAATTTGATCACAGATATTTGGCTATCTTTGGTTTTCTGATAGTAGTGAGACGAGGGGCAGGGCCGCGCCGCCAATCATTTATAGTCATGTATTAAGTGCTTCGCTAATGTGCAAATTTTATGTTGGACGCAGAGTTCAGTCTCTGTTTTGGGTTCAAACAAACAGTATTTCTAATATTCTTCCTACAAAAACAAGCATCTCTAGTTTTGCTTTTCTTTGTCTTAAAAAGGTTGGCTCATTTCGCCACGTTCTGGAAAAAAGCATTACCTTGAAATATGTTAAATGCCAAGTTATTAATCTCATTTGTCCGTTTAGAAGTGCAGCTTCCTACTGAAAAGAAAAAGCCAGTTTAAAATAAAATAAAAAAAACCCCAAACAACCCAAAACAAAAAAATTAAATTAAAAACCTGGAAAGGGGAATAATACTTTGGTTCCAGCCCTAGTGCCAAATGATACCAATATGCACCAAAATGTGCAAAAATCTCATATCAAACACATAAGGAAAAGGAGCTCGAAGCAGCAGCTTAAGGTTGGCCATACTTCACTCCTATATACTTGGATTTACAACTGTACAGGTCCGTGGGAACAGGTCCGTGCCCTTCCAGGGGCAGGGCTGCACTACCTCCGGCTCGGGAGGTGCACCCCGTTGACGAGAGGCAGGAGCGGAGGGTGGAGTTCCAGCTGGGTGAGCAGGGAGAAGTGGTCGGAGGGGATGTGGGGGTGTGGGCACCCAGTGATGTTGTTGTCCACCAGCCACTGAGGGTCCAAAGGCCCCAGGACTCCGAGCACGTTCATGTGGGTGTTGGAGTAGAAAATGTAGTCAATCACACCCTGCGGAGAGAGGGAGAGACACCGGTGTGAGAACGGGGACCGGCGAGAGGCACCGCCCTGGGACTGAGGTAAGACATCCATTCCCATTAAACCACTGGCCACAGCCAGGCTGGAAGCTCAAAAATTCCAGGAAACCATAAAGCTGCGAGCGGCAGGAACAGCACGAGTAGGAAGCGGCAACGAAGCGCTTACAGGGGCCGAGGGGAAGACACCCAAGGGTCAGGGAATTAGGACAAATCGCTGCTTACTTTGAAATCAAAAGTGTAATTGGTGTAAGGCATCAAGTTGTTCTCGTAGGCGCTCTTGAGCTGGAAGCCGTGCGTGATCCTGCCTTCGGAAGCTCCGTTCTTCCCGTTCCCGCTGAAGTTCATGAGACACTCGTTGTAACGCAGCTCCTTGAAGTCCTTGTGGTTGTCGGCCACTATGCCGTTGCTTAAGTATTCCACTACACCTGTTGGCAAGGGGATTTAGGGAGACAGGACTCAGGGAATGTTGGCCTCAGAGTTAAAAACCAAAACACCACTAAGACATGCCAGGAGATTGGAAAAGATGTTAACTAGCAAAGCAAAGCCCTCTCCTTAGGAAGTTTTTATCAGGAACTCGCGTGTTTCCTACTTCTTATTGCTGCTCCAG